GGGTGGCCCTAAATGGGGCTTCGCACCATCAGTGCCTTCATTTCCCCAAAGCAGCACCTCTTTTCCCTCCTTGTTTTGCCCAGCTACCACCCAACAAGTGTTTTAAACTGTTCCCCAGGATCCCACAGCCGTGTAGGTCAAGTTTTCTGCTTCCCTGAGACCACAAAAGCTACCAACAGCCAGTGACAAAACCAGGCTGTGCCAGAAAGGGAGCAAGGGAACAATTATGTTTTCACCACTAGTCGTTTGGGCTTTAGGGGATGATGCCAGCTCCCCACACATCCCAGAAAAACTGCTCCAAGTGGCTGGAGAAAGGCAAAGCTCTCTCAATGGCCAACGACCAACCTAGGGCAGGTCAAGCAGGGCTAAAGCTTAGGGAAGGCAAAGAAAAAGGGTTGAAGGGCCTGGTGTGGTTCTTAGGTGCCTGATCAAAACTACCTGGTGGCAGTTCAGCCATGCTATGGGTGTCTGGACAAGAAAGGCCTTGGGAGAAATGGGACTAGAGGCTGTTTCCTAACAAAATTAAGGTACAAACTGGTGGCTGCAGCTGCCAATAACGCTGCCCATGGCGCCTTGCTGGGAAGTGAAACACAGAAGAGAGGAAGGCCAAAATGCCACTTGGCCTTGAGCACAGCACCAAGGAGCTGGCAATGGTGGGGGGCAGTTTGGGGGGCTGTAAGGCAGGTACCTTAGCAAGGCACCCGGAGCTTTGGGGTGCAGCCAGTGGCAGAGGAAGTCCCCCCAGGACCAGTGTTACGCATTTACGTGTGCCAGCCACCATAACAGTGTCCGACCCCAGGATCCTGCTGAGAATGCCAAATCCAACTAAAGGTTTCCAGTTAGTCTTCTATTAGCCCTTCAGTGACAGCTCGAGCTGGGTGCATCCAGAGAGGGACCCCTACACCAATTCACGCCTCTCAATTATACCTGTGCCACCCATCACCCAATCCCCAAATCCAATCTCCTAATTCTGGTCGGTGATCTCTTGATTTCTTACTGGTTTTCACTGTCCCTGGGCTGGCTTTCTTCTGAGGTTACTTCATTCTCTTGGAATTGTCTCCTTGGTTATCTTCTTTATTCTGCTCATATCTGCTGAATTCAGCAAGTTCTTTGTTAGCAGCATTAGTTTTACCAAAAGTTTACCCTTGTTCAGCTCTTGCAGCCTAAGGCTTCAGCTACTTTAGCTGCTAATGCTAAGCCAGTAATGCTCAATGAGATTATTCACAGAGGAATAATGTTAGTCAAATTTCTGCTGTAACACCAGCATCGGGCTGTCTGGGCCCCCCCTCCACTCGCCCCAGCAGTGCCACATGTCCCGTGGGGCCCCGCACACCCTCCCGCTCTCCCTGTGACAGCACAGCCGAGCGGGGCCCGGGGGTCAGACGGCACGTGGCTGTGGCCGTGCCCAGCACTGGCGGCAACCATGGACACGGCGTGACCAAAGGTCGCCTGCACCGCCCCAGCAGCGCGACAGTGCTGCGGAACTGCGCCGTGCCCGGTGTGCCCTCCCGCCCTGCGGAGTCGGTTCCTCCTTTGCTTAAGCCGGGGCAGGAAGTGTGGGGTGAGAGTTGGGGAGCGCGAGCTGTGCCCTGCCGGGGAGCGGGCTGCTGCCCAGCCCCGTGGGAGGCACAGCCATGGCTCGGCGGGAGCGGGAGCAGGGCTCGGCGGAGCAGAAGGTAGCTGGCATCGCCAGGACGTTCACACTCCTGGGAGCCGCCCGGCCGCAAGTGGGGAGCCTAGCCCGCAGCTCCCATCTCTGGCCGGCTGCCACAGGGAGCAGGGAGCGTTTCCATCCACTGCAGAAGATGGACACCAGTAGGAGTGTCGACCGGGGCAGCCATAGCCTGGGGAGCTGGGGTAGGACTGCGGGCAGGCTCTCCATCGGCCCCGGCAGTACCCGGAGAAAGGAGCTGAAGGAAATCCTCCTGCAGAGCAATAGCCCCAGCAGCACGGTGCGGTTTGCTGCCGCTCAGAAGACATCCAACGACAGCAGTGTCCTTGCAGGGCTACACCAAGAGCAGAAGCCTGAGCAGACCCCCGAGGAGCTGTCTCTTGCCTTGGATCCCCTGGAGCATGAGTGGCTGCTGACGGTGGCACAGGGTGATGCAGACAACATCATAAGGCTGCTGGACCTGGATCCCAGCCTGTTGACCAGGAAAGACTTTGTGACGGGATTCACCGCTCTCCACTGGCTTGCCAAGCACGGCCACTATGAGAGCTTCATCCAGGTCATCTCCCACGTGCAGAAGAAGGGCTATCCTGTCAACGTGAACATCCCCACAGCCAGTGGCGGGTTCACCCCCTTGCACCTGGCCGCCCTGCAAGGACATGAGCTGCTCATCAAAGTGCTGGTGGGAGCTTACGGGGCAGACACCAGCCGCAGGGACCACAGTGGGCACAAGGCTTGGCAGTATCTTAGGGAAGACACCTCCAGGGAGCTGAAGGAGCTGGCAGGGGCCTTGGAGGAGGACTTGGTCCAGCTGTGCTCTCACAACACCAACAACAACTGTAAGTCATCCAGAGAGGCCAGGGTAGGGCGGGACTGTGTGATCTCTGGGGCCGAGGGGAAAGCCCAGAGCTCCTGGAGCCTGTCAACGCTCCGGACCTTTGTCAGACAGGCATTTACTTTCTTCCAAGAGCGCTGAAGCTCTCCTGGCTCATCTGCCTGCAAACCCATGCTGAATAGCAGCCCGAAGAGCTTGCAGGGAGCTGTGAACTTGGCGAGGGCCAGCCAGCGCTTGAAATCTTTGCTAAGAGGGGATTAAACCCCTGCACAGGGGCACCACGGTCACCCGGGGTCTCGCGTGGGCTTTTGGAGCTGTGCCGGTGTGTGTGGGGCAACCACAGCCATCAGGAGCACTGCCTGGGGACAGTCCTTCCAAAAAACTGCCTGTCCCCGGAGGGGGTTTTGCTCCTTTCCCCTGCTGATGGGGATTCCGCAGCTCATCAGAGCCCCGTGGTGGGGGTTCATGTGCCAGCCCCGCTGTGGGGAGCTGCTTCTCTGACACCCTGCGTGCCCGTGGGAGAGCGCTGAGCCACCGTGGGAGGTGGTGTCCCGTGCTGGGGGCCGGGGGTGGACATTTGGGCTGCCCATCCCGGGCTGCCAGCAGACTTTGCGTGTGACTGCAGGTGGGTCATGCAGAAACTCTGTAACTTGGTTCTCTCACCTGTAAAATGAGGCCGTCAGCACTGCCCTGGCTCCCAGCAACACTGTGAGTTGGAATGGTCATGGCGCCTTGGGTGCCTGGATGGAGGCACTGGCAGAATATAATTAAATATTTCACATCCATACCCTAAGATGCCAGAGGCCTGGCACTGGGCTGGTGATGGAGAAACGACGATGGCTTCAGAAACAACCCCCCACAACACTTCTTTATGTATGCTTCTCTGCCGGCAGGGAGAGTGGGTACAGACAAGCAGACCATGTCACCATGCTGCAAACACTTTCCAGCTGCCTCTGAGATACCCAGATCTCTGCCACATGCACCTCCTCTGGGTTGCTGTTTGTTTATGACAGATAAAGCTGTTTCTCAGTAAAGTAAGAGCTGGAGTGTCCAGTTTGCCAGAGGAGGTCAGGCCCAGAAGAGAAGTCTTTCAAAGTGCAAGGCAAGTGCCCCTGGCAGCCCTTCCGTGGGGACCACCAAGACACTCAGCCCTACTGGGGATGGGGGCTGGAGTGGGAGGGATGTCCAGTGGGGTGGCATGGCTGGCTCCCACGGGGACTGGAATCTAGAAGCAGCTCTGTAAAAATGATTCAATGCTCAAAACCATGGAAAAGGTACAAAGACTGTGAGATTATCTTTGTGGCTACTGAGGTCATGCTCAAAAATGAAGCTCTTGAGAAACATCCCTACAGCTGTATAACCCCACATGTATGTACTGGTAACTGCATTAAAAGGGCAAAGCCTCTGCTCACCTGTTTGTGTTTTGTTCACCAAATGGAGCTTTGACCAGCTGATTTCAACTTGCTTTTCACATTCTCAAAGGCCAGAGCTGTGTCAAAATAGCTTCAGAAAAACAACTGCTCCTTCCTCTTTTTCATCATCATGAGACCATTTCTACCACCTTAAATAGCAGTCCCATTTGAGAAGTGACTCTCAGACAGCAACTGGGGAGTTTCTGTTCCCCATCACAGAGCAGCAGTCCTTGCAGAGACACCTCACTTCCAAGGGGAGCCACAGTTTCTTTCCAGCTGCATTTCTGGGGGTCTGCAGAGGTGACTCTAGATGATCTCTGGCCTGGCTTCACTGGTGAATTTACACCTTAAGGAAGAAAGTTCCATGGGTAACTCCCTCAGGGGAACTTAAGCCTGTGAGTTTCATAGACCCTCTGCAAACCCCGTTTATATTCAGATTGTGCTAGAAGTGCTGCTCAGACACCAGAATAACCCAGTCTGCGGTGGATGACACATGAAAGAACAGCCTCCAGATGAGTAGATAGTGATCCAGTGACTGGATAGTGTCCAGTCCAGGTGACTGGTTGGACACATAGATGTGTCTGGGCATCTTTTAAATCACTGAAGTCAGCAGCAGAGACATACAAAACAGACTGGGAATGTATTTAATGCCTAACCTACACCAGTTTTGTAATGCTATAACAGATTAAAGACTATGGCAACATTGCTCCTTCCAGAACTTCTCTGACCACATCCATGCCACGGGACAGCAGGCTGGTTTCTAATGAGGCTGGTCACACCATCGCAAACTCCATGAAAAGCACTGATGTCAAAACACCAGTGACTTTTAGTTCTAACTAAGATACTGTTGATAAAGAGAGGTGGGTGCATGTCTGACAAAGTATTTTTCGACCTATTAGCCTTCTATCACCCTTTTGCAGCAGCATGCTGTCTGGGAGAGGGTGTGGGAACTGCTCTTAAATCCTCCTCTGGTAAGGTGCAGAGTAAACAGTGGAATTACAATTTCCTTGAAGGAGCTGTTTCCTTGGCATTTGTACCTGCAGCTTAGTCATGCTCCACCAGGAAACATGGAATTCAGTGTTCCATTTTCAAGTGAAATTTAATTGGCAAATGCTACCCTTTATGACTAAATGATTTTTTGTACTTGCCTCCCCTTGACAACTAACTCAAACCCCTAAAGGCTGCTTTTCCCCCCATCTTTTGGTCATAGGTTTGAAGCTGTGTTCTGCTCTGAGGCAAATTAGGCAGGCACTTCAGAAGGAGCAAGACCCTGCTTCTCTGGGTGGTGTTACAATATACTCATCAACGCCACCCCCTGCCTTGCCTGCGCTGCAAGTGTTCCTCTCCACAGAGCAAAAAAAAAAGATCTTCAAATCGCAGTATCCCTTCTGCTGCTGTACACCATGTTTGCCCCAAACACCACGCCAAACCCAGTGACCCACCCCTCTGTCTTGCACCATTTATTTTCATACCTACAGAGGGGCAGTTGGTTTGGAAATATGTTTAAAAAATATTCCTCAAATATACAGTCAGCTCTCACTATGCTTCTCAGAAAACAAAAGCATAGCCACCAAAATTAATGGACCAGAATATGCAAATTATGTCGATTTTTTTCTTTAATGTTTCTGTTGATGTCTCAGTTATCCTGTGTTAGCTCAGCTCTGCAGAGATTTCTGATCCCCCCTGTAACTCTCACAGGGCAGGAGAAGCTGCCGCAGGAACAACAGAAATCATTCAAACTCAGAGGTATTTGTGTTGGTTAAGGTTTTGCAGAAGATTGATTTTAACCCAATTTTAATTTGTTCTAAATTTACTTAGTGTTATCTCTTAATGTCCAATTTGAAAAGCAGATTCAGTCAAATAGGGAAAAAATAATACAAGGGGTTATTTTCTAAAGCAGCTCCTTGGTAGAAGCTGTTTCCATCTAATAAAATTAGCACAGTAGTGATAGTAATAGGGAGACTATCTAATAAATAGTAATAAATAGTTCAATCTATTGCTCAGGAAAGCCTTCCCACAAATGCCATGGAGAAAACCATCTCTTTCCATTCTCAAGTTAATAAAATTACTTTTTTCCTCCTCAGCCAGGTCCACAGACACAATTAGAGAAACTGTGAGTCGCTTTATCTGCCAGCAGCAGTGATAGGGAGAAGCAAGGGGCATTTCACAGGGCTCTAGGGATGATCTTCGATCCGCAGCAGTGCTGCTATTTCCTCAACACTTGCTTAAAAGAGAAGAGCACAGAAGAGATTTAAAAAACATGGGGGTAAAAGTGTTTGCAGCACGTGGGCGTCTGTTGAACATCTTTGGCAATGCTGTTTGCTGCGTTCCTGTTGCAGCAACTGCTTTCCCCCAGTAACAAAGTAGAAACTAGACTCTTACCAGGCAGGAAAAGAAACTAGAAGATACCTCTGAAGCTGGTAAAAATCCCAGCCTTGCTCTCCTGTGCTCACAGAAAGCTCCAGCACACCTTAGGACGGACAGACTGTCACGAGCTCTGAGCGAAGCTGCCCATGGGGTCACAGCCCCCTCCGGGCACATCCCCCTGCTCCACCGTGGGGTCCCCCCCGGGCTGCAGGTGGGTGTCTGCTCCCCCGTGGAGCTCCCTGGGCGCAGGGCACAGCTGCCTCCCCATGGGCTGCCCCACGGGCTGCAGGGGAACCTCTGCCCCGGGCCTGGAGCACCTCCTGCCCCTCCTCCTGCACTCACTTGGGCTCTGCAGGGCTGGTTCTCTCACATCTCACTCTCTCTAGCTAAAGTTTCTTCTTGAGCAGTTTTTTCCCCCACTTCTTATATCCGTATCCCAGAGTTGCTGCCACCACCACTGATGGGCTTGGCCAGCGGCAGGTCCATCCTGGAGCTGGCCAGCATCGGCTGTCGGACACGGGGAAGCTTCTGGCAGCTTCTCACAGAGGCCACCCCTGTAGCCCCCACTACCAAAACCTTGCCAGGCAAACCCAATACAGTTATGCGTTTACACATGCTTGGGCATATGCTGCTGCCCAGCATTATTTACTACAAATTGTAACAGGAAGGAGATAAATCTATTTACCTCCAACATGAAAAGCAACACAGAAGGTGTGGCAGTCTGAAGCTTCCTCAGGAAGCTGCCACCCAGGACCTGAGCCACCTCAGCAGGCTGAACCCAGGAAACAGCACCAGAGCACTTCACAGCCCTCGGCATCAGGATGGGCTTTGCCGCAGGCATGTCCAAGAACAGGCTCACACCTTCAGTGTTTCCTGCTGATGAGTACTTACCCCAGGGCTGCACTGCAGAAGGGAAAGGAGCAGCAGCCACGCGGGACGTGGTGCTGAGCCACAGCTGCCTCCTCCACTTCCCTGCAGTAAAAAGGTGATGGTTCACAGGCCCCAGTGGAGTGCCAGTGTCGGGGAGCTGGAGTGCTGACTACTCTGAGGGGTTTGATCCCTTCTTTCCTCTCTCCCTTTTTAAATAGCTGCTAACTTTTCCTTTGAGCAACATCTTAAGTTACTACCTTTCTGCTGAGGATGTTTTAAATTAAGCTGCACCTGTGGCTGGCATCAAGACCAACTTGACAAACTAACAAAACTCAGAAGATTGTTATTCTAGGGAACATGCAGACATTATGTACTACAGTCTATAGGAGTATCACATTTTGCAGATCCAGTGCCCTTGCTCTAGTCTTCCATTCTCCTTTCCTACCTCCTAAAGTGAAACTTTCATCTGATTATTCCATCGCACCCACTCTTAGCCAGGATCTTCACCCCAGGCTCCAAGGGCTGCACTGCCCCACGTCCTACCCAGGAACCGCTCCTGGTGCTGCAGGCACAGGGGCTAGACACACACAGGGCAAGAAGCCCCCATCCTCAGCTGCCACAGGCAGGACATTCACGAGGAGCCACCCGCAGCTGACTCTAATGGGTGTCCGGGGGCAGCCTTGCTGGTTGCTCAGGTGCAGGACAGTTAGCCTTGGTATTCAAGTATCACTGATTATTCTCAGCTCCATGTTCTTGCTCCCCGGGCAAGTATTTTCATAGTGCTTCTGGGCACAGAACCTATCAGCATTTGCCCAGTGCCATCATTCGCACTGTTCAACACTTAAGAGTTGGGAAATGCTCTTCCATCAATAAAAAAAAACGCAATAAGCGATCCGACTGACCCACAGGCCTAGCTACACTGTACTACGTGGTCTACCCTGGATGGACAAAAGGGCCATGTGGGAGCTAACAGTGGAGTAGAGAACCTGCAGCTGTTACAGGAGCCAGCCATAGGGAACACAGATGCATCCAACGTGTAAGCATAATATGAGAGGGTGGTAACTGGAGACGGATTTGGTTTAGGCAAGAGGTTTTTAGTCTGGATCCCCCTCACCTAACACAGCACACCTTGAACAGGAAGCCACCTAACCCCAGAGCATTTTCAGTGTGCTTTGTTCTCCAGCCCCATGAAACGCACCCAGCAGCTTCTCAGACACATCTTTCACACATTCTGACAATACTGCTTATTTTTTTAGCAACATTTCACAAATCTACCAGAACTGTATTCCAGAGTCTTTCCTGAGGTTAAGTAATAAGAGGCTGATGCTCCAGCTATGGTAGCCATGATGGCCTATGGACCATAAAGTGAAGTCTGGCTTTTTCAAACCTGCCTCTAGAACTTTTTAACTATTTGTTTGTCTAATAAAAGATTGTCTTCAAATCACCTCCTCTAAAATCAGCTCTGATTTTTACCCCTTTTCTTTAAAAAAACTGTAAACCTCTGAGAGTAAAGCCTAATGTAAGTGAAAAAAGAAGACAGACTATCTGAAAAGAGCCAACAAGGTTTCTCACACTAAGATTATATTCACAATATCAGTAGTTTTGATTCTGTTACTATTCTACCATATATATGAGAAATAATTTCATCCAAGTCATTCAGGTCTGTATTTATTAGTAAGCCCGTACACTGGCAATACTCATGAAAATGCCTGAAAAAAAAAGAACACTAATAGAACACAGTCTTCATGTTTCAGATGCAAATTACTTCAAGATTTTCCCAGTTAACATCAATAACCCAGACTAGCTTATAAAAAAAACCCCAAACACTGGGGATTGCAGTCCAACACTACAGAAGGAATCATTTGGGGATCGCCGAACAGCATGTGGGGTGTACCAATCTGATGCAGAAAGACAAGTGTTTAATTAGAGTTCCCAGGAGACAGTCTCTCTTACAAGCCCAGTTTGGTCCTTCTCCAGTGTCTCCTTTTGGAGTTGTACCTAAGACAGAAGTAGCGTAAATTAGCAAAGCACACATACATACACATTTGAGGATGCAAAGTGGAAACTACCTTGAATTAGCTCAGCAGTAAAGGACTGAAATCTTTCCTATGTGCTATAGTGGCAAGCTGACAATCAGCTGTGCACTTATTTTTAAAAATTCCCATCTCTGTTTACTTTCTTGATTCACTAACCAAGTGGGTTAGTACATTACTGCAACAGATCCTAAACTTCAGAGAGATAAAGATGCCTGCAGAGATGCATCGGCACTGGTGTGTGAATATTCTACCTCCTCTTTTGGAGACTGTGCTTTTGCATTGATTGTCCAATGAGAATGAAAACTACCTCTTGAATATAGTTCATAGCCTAACACAAAAAGTATCATTTTTGTTCAAAATATGAAAGCAGAGTAGTGTATGGAAAAAGACCCTCTTTCAGGAAAGTATATTTATTTATGAGTATGGACTTGTACATGTTAAGAACAAACGGTTTCACCACCATATAGGCAAAACCGAAGACAGCATTAACAGAGTTACTCTCAGCAGGAAAATGGCAGTGCTCCCACAGAATGAAGCACTGCAATTGCAGCCTGCTTTATCACACAGTTTGGATAAAACTAATGACCGACGTACTGAAGTGCCAAATGACAGAAATTTAGAATTTTGCCCCATGATAAAGTATTCTAAAGTACTGCAATTTAGCTAAAACAAAACTCCTTTATAAGTCAGTATCTCGAAGACAAGAGTACAGTCTGGGGTGCACAACATCATTTTTTCCTAGACAGAAACAAGTCAGAAGTAACAGGAACAGCACCTGACAATTCTGTGCCGTTTCACTGCCTGAGCCAGCTACTGCTACGGTCACTTTCCTCACTACTTAGGACAAAAAGTGATCTGGGAGCAAGAATTCTATTCCCTTAAGAAATCTAGAGAGGGGCGTAGCAGATAAAAAGCTGGCTGCACAGCACGAGTCACTGAACTGTACTGGTTGAAGCTTTGAAATTAAGAGGGCTCAGATATGCACCACCTTGTGCAGGCCTCACATTTACTTAGTATTCTGCGGTATTCTCATTGTATTTTCCTAGATACAATGCTTGAAAATAAACACTACAGGCAAAGAGAAAGGAACTCTTGTAAATTAATTCTGCAGTCACATGCGCAGGATCTCATACTACCCATTTTATCTTCCATACATCCAACAGGCCCTTTGCTCCCTGATGCACGATCTGTCTCTCAGAACACCCACGCTCAGTAAGATGCTGTTCCCTGAGCATGCAGGAACCCAGAGGGACAGCTGTGAGAGGGGGAAGGTGTTGGGAAGGGTAACGTCAAAGCAGAGAGATTACTAGGGTAAAACTCCGGAATCAATAATCCAACGTGCCATCACCTAACGTCTGTGGATACTTGCACAGCACGGGGATGAACCGCACTGCCACGGAAGGAAATGGCGCGGCAGCCCCACACCGCTTCAAGCAAACACAGAGGGCTGCCAGGATCCGGTGGAGTTACTCATCTGCAGCAGGATGCCTGTACGGTACTGGCGGCCCCAGAACTGCACTCCTGCTTACATGTTTTTACAAATCAGCTGCTGACTCCAGTCCACACCGCACTGGCAGCCCGATGGAGAGCCTGAGGGGCTGCACTTCCTCAGAAAGCCAGAGCCGATCTCGTTACCTGATCTTATTGCCCGTTTTCATGCGAATCCATTGCGGGATTGGCCGGTTCTGCTTCTGTTTCTTAGCAAGGAAGCGTTTGATCTTGAACGTCTTGTGAGACGACTGGAAGAAAGAGCAGCTGTTAGTCCCGCACGGCAGCCCCGCACGGCCCCCGGCTCGCAGCGGG